TTGAATCTTCAACTCATTGAACTCGACGGGTGCAAATCTATGTGGTACCATGTAAATCGGTGTCATGCCAGGCACTAAGTCGATAGAGAACTCAATCTCACAATGAGGTGGTAAACTAGTGAGATCCTCAAGAAAGACGTCCAGGTATTCACAAAACTACCTACAGTAACTCAACTAGGGTCATATCATTCTCAACACCCAAGAATTAGCAAGAAGGAGACTAAGCTTGCCCCGACCACGTGGATCACACACTGGCAACAATGCTCTATCAACTCTGCCATCCTAGAAATAAAAACAATCACCACTCGAGGTACATACAGTAACCCTTTAACGGTAATCTATAACAGCCCGATAGGATGACAACCAATCCATACCCAATATAATATCGAAACTCGACATATCAATCAACACAAATGCAAAAGAAAGTCGACGATCGGCAACCTCTATTTCATAACCCTAACACCCCTGGTCCAACACAACCTCACCACCAACTAGTGACTCTACCCTGAGTGGAGATGCTAACTGAGCCACTTCTAAACCCAATGACGATGCAAATGTAGATAAGATAAAAGAATGAGATGCACCCATATCAATCAATACATTGGCTATAGAATTACACAACAAGAAGTTACCTTTCACTACCGAAGGCACTGGTACTAAATTTGGGGTGGTAACAGCGTACACACGCCCTGTAGGTCTCTGCTCTGCTTGCTCACCCCTCGGAGCATAAGTCTGATGCATGAATTAAGCCAAAGAGGCCCCTTCATTGGTCCTCGAGGCCTGTTTTGACTGTGTAGGCTGATGGCTCTGTGTCTGGCTCTGTGTCTGGCTCTGGCAAGATATACTAAATGTGCCACCCAATTGAGAACAAAACCTCAACACATGCCCTGACTGCCCACACTAATAACAGGCAGGCGACTACCCTCTCCCGTGACTCTGGCTTTGAGAACGAACCACAAACGGTGCAGACTATTGCCCTAATCCCTTTTTGCGGGCAATCTACCAACTTGTGACCCAATTGGCCACACTTAAAACAAGTGATGCCTCCTCAACCACCTCTCCCAGAACCCGAACTTGGTACTGGAGTGGACCTAGACTGTGCTTTCTAGGATTACTGTGGGTTGGAACCCCTCTGCCTCTTACTATCTCGAGTCTCTCCTTAAACCTCTTGAATCCTCTGCCTCGAGCCTCTCATCATCTCCACAAGACGACCGTAATCCCTAATCATAAACGCAACCACCTTGAAAAGTAGTCCGGTCCTCAACCTCTTCTCAAACTCCAAGCAACGGTGTTCCTCTATCGCCACAAGCTCCAGTGCAAACCTCGATAAACTAGTGAAGGTAGCCTCAAACTCGGCCACCAGTATGTTCAACTATTTGAGCTTCAAGAACTGCTCCCTCAGCTTCTCCCTCATAGTGGGAGGCAAAAACTTGTCTTGGAAGGCTTTGACAAAGGCCTCCCACGTCACCCCGATGCGCCCCCACACAAACTTCCACCAATGACCCGCATCTCCCTTCAACTCGAAAAATGCCAAAGTCACCCTCAGGGCATAATCATCGATGCCAAGCATCTTGAATGTCTTCACCATTTGCTCCAACCACTCATCCGTCTTTAGTGGCTCATTCAGATCCCCCAAAAACTCGTCTGGATTAGACCGGAAGAACTCTCTCTTCAAGAAAGATGACTTTGTCCCTACTACTTGTGCTTGGACTTGCTTCTCAGCTCTGAGAATGTCCATGGATTCCCGCAAGGCCCCAGCCATTTCACGGACCAAAGCATTCATGGCTTGCTGACCAACTGGTTCGACTACACTGGGCCTACCACGCCCACTACCACCATGTCCACGTCCTGACATCCTAATAAAGGTAACAGTAGAGATTAGCACATTTACAAATGAGCCAAAACTAAATCACTCGTGTCCTAAAGCGATGGACAAGAATTAATTCACTCCACATAAGCACGTAGTCACATATAATGATCGTCCCGCGACATTGCTAGAGTTCCAGTTAGAAATAGTAGTGATCAAGTGCTCTTCTAATAGGACTTCTAGAAACTCGTAGATCTAATCAACATGAAATAAGATTCCACACACATTTACTACATAAACTTGTTATCACATAGCATACCATACATACAAATATCTCTATCAAGCGAGATAAACCCATTGTGGTAAGAACCATTTCCCAAGTACCCAAAGTAATCAAACTTGTAAGCTCTGATACCAAGTTGTGATGCCCCAAAATAATTACAATAGGACCATCCACAATATTAATAAATAACAATACCATGCTGAACACAATAACCTTTACATTTCATATAGTCCTGTGGTACAAAAGGTAGCACATGCAGTTATATATTCACAAGTCCTAACTCTGAATCTATAGCCCACGTTATAACTTAAAGATATGAAATAAGATTTTAAAAAAATAAGAAATGCCCTAAAGGCTTACAACTTTCCAAGACAATGCTTGGTTACAACAAAACAGATTTAAATCCAATACAATTAAAGCCCTTGGCTTGTACAAAATAGATACAATAACACGCAAAAAGAAGCCTTGGAGCTCCAAGCTCGAAGGCATATCATTAATACCTGAAAATGGTTTTCTCCACATAGGGTGAGCCAAAGCCCAGTAAAGATACTATAACATAGTTTATGAATCTTAATAATATTATAAGGTGAATGCACATGCAATACCCATGCCAAAACATTTTCATTTCTCTTTTCAAAATCGTGCAATGCCAAGTTTATATCTTAATTCATGATATCATTTCCTTTACAAAAGAAAATAGGGCAATGAATACAACATTGTAAATCTCTAGGACGTGTCTGCAAGTAGGCTACAAGCACTACTGATTTGTCAGTTTTATCGATATTAATCGGAAGGCTTGACACCTAACCGCGTGGGTTTCTGGACTTTCACAAAGGACACTCCGACCAACAAAATACCACAGCTACACTCATACCCAGATTCACCAAGGTATTCACACATTTTTCTCAAAACAACAACATTTTCAAATGTGTTAAATATGCAACAATGTCCAATGCAATGGACGAGAAAATAGTTTCAATTCTCCTAATTCTCATGCAATTTCTACAATAACCATAGCTATCTTCCACCGATAGCCCAAAACAGATATCTCTAAACAGATAAATAATTTTTCATAAAGATAAACTTTCCAAAAATCTCAAGATGGGACTGATAATACATATCCAACTCTTCCATCCTTATTAACGTCAATCCAATTCCACATTTCTAACATCAAATCCATTTATCCTTACAAAATCAACATTTGAAATCGTTTGGGAAAAACCCACTTTTCTTTATAAATCAATCCCCAAGATAAAGTGCACTATTTTATCACAACTCATCCTAATTTACAATACCATAACCATTTCCAAGAATCCATTTTAAAACCCCTCTTTTGATTTTTAACTTAAAACCCTAGATTTGTCCAAAAATTCCCATATCACAATATTGTTTTAGAAATAGCAAATAACTAAGTTAAAAATCATAAAAAAGTGCAGAGAATCCCTATCTTAAGCCTAGAAGGCAAGAGAAGGAATGGAGAAACTTCAATAAGCAACTTTGCTCTGATCAAAAGGAAGCTCTCGGAGTGTTCTACCTTTTTATCAAAGGGACACGGGTTAAAATATCAATGGATCTAGGCGTATTTGTGGACAGAATGTGAGTTTTAGAGAGAGAGGTTCTCAACTTAGTTTTTAGAAAGTTTATAGAGAGAGAGAGATGAAAAAGTGAGCCAAAAAGGTGACTTTATGGATTGATATACACGCAGACCGCTCAAGTGCAAGAATTGTTGCTTGAGCTACCAGACACAATAAGTGAGACCGCTCAAGTGCAAGAATGGTCGCTTGAGCGCGCAATGCACCCTCCCAGTAGTTCAGACCTGTAAAATTTCAGTTGTGCGCAAAAATGTTGCTCGAGCACAGATATCAAACTCTCAGTAGTTTTACAGGCTGTAAAAGGCAGTTTGAGAGCAAAAAGCGTCACTCGAGCGAACAAACAAATTTCTGGGCAGTACAGTTTTGAAAAGACTAACTCCCAACCTGTTCTAAACACGACAATGATAGTCTAATAGCCAAACTCAATGAGGAATAAAGGGAAATAAGACATGAACAACCATATAAGACAATGAAACCTGGATCTAGAACATCAAATGGGTCAGGTCTAAACTAGAATCATTATATCTTTAGTGCATTAGGTTGTCTAATATTGATTGTGAGAGGCTTATGGTTCCAACAGCATCCATAAGGCCAGTTGTGGGACCCGCTGGCCTCTCGCATCTATGCAATGGGCGAAAGTTTTTTTTTTTCCTTTTAAGATCTTCAATTTGTCTTGATTACTTACATGGGAATCCCTCACTAAGATGTTTGGCATTCACTTGAAAAAGTTATAATTTTTTTCTAAACCTTTTTGTGGAATAAACGGAAATACATGTTTTAGAGTATGACAATTCAGGATCTGAGTGAAAAAGCCTTTCTTTATGCTGTGTTTGGTTGGGGGATTTGGGAAGGAATTTGGAAAGGGAAAGGGAGAAGGTGTGTGAAACTAGGTGAAATGTATACATATTTTATTCACATTTCACCTAACTTTTCCCTTTCCCTTTCCAAATCCCTCCTCAAATCATCTAACCAAACACAACGTAAAGATGAGAAAAGCAAAAAAAATAAAGTTGGTAAAAAGCCAATGCCGAACGAAACAACCTAGCTCCTTCATTACAAAATGTGTACAATTGATAACTCATCTTCTAATGTTTAAAAGTCATAAAACAAAAACTATTTAAGTATAATTCGGCATTGGTTTAAAATTTTAAATCTAAAATAGAAGATAGCTTATACAAATCCGATTGAATATAAAAATTTGATCCATTGTTTTTCTTAATGCATAGCATATTTCCACTACTTTTTATTTTTTTATTTTAATTGATATACCATGTTAAGTCTATATTGGGACCAAATTAATGGAATTAGGAAGGCTTACAGAACTAGAATCACAGGGCAATGGTTGATGAACAACAAGCTCTATGTTTTTCTCATTGACAGATCTTCTATCACTAAACAATTCTTGTGGTTTTGGAGAAGCAATTCCACATGATGGTTCCAGAATTTGACTAGGGTTAAGTCCATCAATACACTGCAAATGCAAACAATGAATTTCCATCAGCTTAATATCTAAGTAAGGCCAAGGCGCAAAATAAGATAATGAAAAGGTTTGTAGAATAGACTATAACGTGTATATATATATATCAGTTTATTGATCTGAGAGTAAGCTTGATAATCCTGCAAACACGGTGTATTGCTGGGATCTATATTGAAATACTCTCCTTGACAACTTCTCTGCAATGACTGAAAAAAGAATAAAAGGAAAAAAAGAACAAGATTGCTTTTAGGAGGTCATGGATTCAAATATGGTCTCTCTCCTTATCTTTGCCATTGGGGAATCAATCTATTTTGTCTATTTTTCTCTACGTACGAAATAAGGTCGCACGTGATTAGGAGGAGTTCGACTATATTAGTTTTTGGGACAATTCATTGCAATAAATTAAGGTTTTAGAGACAAAACTTTAGGGGCAAAATCACATTTTAGGGACGAAATATTTTTGTTGCCAAACATATCATTATTATATTTTTTATCCCTAAAAGTGCATTTATTAGCGACAATTAAAATTCTTTTTTTGACTTTTTGAGACTACATTTTAACGACTATTCTCGCAAATACATGAATTGGTCTCCAAGTGTTTTTTGCAACAAAATTCTCCCTTTTGGAGACAAAAATAAAAAAATAAAAAATTATTCCTAAAACTCTTATTTGTTGTAGTGTGAGGTCACATGTGATTGGGGGGCATTTTTTACCATATACGTTTCTGGGATAGTTGTGATTTATTTTCATGGCTAATGAAATAACATTATGCATGATATTTTACTGGATTTTGGAAAGAGAGGAACGGGATTCATTTCAAAGTAGTAAAGCACCTCGTAGAGTTCATCTGAAACAAGTTCCATTCCATGTGCAAATGGGATTGCATAATTTCTATCATATGGAGTTGTTAATGGGTTGCCAAGTAAGTATCCTTGAAACCATTTCAGAACCAAAACAAAAAACACTTTGTAAATTTGTAAAGCATTAAAAAGAAACTTTGAAAGGGTAAATTACATGACTGGTCCCTCTAGTTTGAATGAAATTTCATTTTGGTCCCTGTAATTTTAAGGGCTATTTACAAAGAGACCCCCTAAACTATTGGAAAGTCCCACTTTGACACCCTAAATTATAAAACCACACAAATGGATCCCTACTATGTTGCGCAGTATCACTTTACCCCTAAATTATAAAAGTGCACAAATGGATCCCTCAAATTATTGGCGTGTTTTACTTTGACCCCTTTCGTTGGGGGTCCAATTTGTATGTTTTTATAGTTTAGAGGGTCCATTTGTACACTTTTATAGTGTGGAGGGGCAAAGTAATATTTCTCAACAGTTTAGAGGGTCCATTTGTATCATTTCATAGCTTAGGGGCTCAAATAGTTTAGGGGTCTTTATTGAAATAACCCTAGTTTTAATTTGAACAATTTGGTCTTTATACTCTTAATTTTGTTGACATGTGGTCCCTTGGTCATGCGTTGTTAATATTTTGAACAGAAAAAATCATGTACAATACTTAAAACAAACAATAAGGACCACCAATGTAATGAATATATTACACTAGTAGTCCTTGTAGTTTGTTTTGAATTTCACATTGGTCTCTCTAGTTTTTGTTTGCACAAAAATTGTCTAAGCAATGAGGTTTGGGATGTGGGCTTGCCAAGACAAAGTATTGCTTATACGAAAATGGATCTGACTTCTTTTTAGGAGACTGTAGAAGCCCCAAGGTAGTAAAAGCCTCTTGGATCTTTACTCACCTCAATGAAGAAGACTTAAAATCTCCTAAAGGTTTAAAATTAGGAAGAAAAGTTGGTCAAAGGAAATAAAAACAATAAACTGCCAACCTTAATGTACTAAAAAGGATTGAACATACAAAAAGTGACAAAAACATGTTTAAATAAAAAACAATTGACTTACAATGGATTGTAATCATAATTGGAATAAGAAAAATCAGCCATGAATGACAAAACTAATCTAAAATGACATGGATGTCAATGACACTAATGCCCAACAACTAAACTACGACACATGTGCCTTAAAAATGAACTAATGTTAAATGCCAAGGCTAAATTGACATTGATGTCGTTGAGTTTTTTTTTTTTTTTTTTTTTTATTTTATTTTTTTTTTGAGTTAGTGTCAATGCCTTGAACTTACTTATGCTTGTAAATGGCCTTTTATAGCCGTTGGGTGCCTCATAAAAGCCAGTAACAAGCTCCTAAACTTTCTTATCCACTTTGGTTAATTGGATGCTAGGTTGGCTCTATGGATGCCATGTGTTGCATGTGCTAAATTTACTAATTTACTAGTCTTGAAGCCCAAATATCTCAAACACGTGCTAAATTTACTAATTTGCTAATATGTAGGAGGAACAGTTGCCTCCACCTTTTTCTAGCCGTTGGATCATAAGTAATGGGACTGAAGATATGATGGATGGATGACACATGTCATAACCTCCATACCAAATCCCAACATTATATCTCCATAGTGGTACGGAACAATGGTCAATAACCATCTCCTAAAATAGAGGAACAAATTTGTTGGAGGTATTGAAAGAAGAATATATCTCAACTAATTCCTATAAAATAGGAAACCATCACTACCATTATCTGATAAGCACTTAGATAAAATCACCTAGAACTTTCACTTTCATAGATCACGAGCGCCATGTGTCATCTCCTAATTTGGCTATTCCTCCTAGAAAATCACCTCAGGGGTAGCTTTATCAAACTTGCCAAATCTACTTAAATTACCATGAATATTCATTTATTTGAATACTAGCATCATCCTATTGGGCGGTCATTTTCGGTACAAACAATATTTCCTTCAAACGTTTCCTCTATAATGTTCAATTAAGAGGAGACATTAGATTGATTTCCACTTTTGGAATCTTTCTGAAGTGTGGGGATCTGAAAAGGGAGGTCCCAGCAACTGTACACTTCTTCAGGCAACTTGCCTGATGTCTCGCTCACGATGAGTGGGATCGATCAGGGGTGCAATGTGAGATACGAGCGAATGGTCTACATTTAGCATATCCGATAAAAATCCACTTATTAAACAGAAGTGCTAAATGTAAATCAAACATCAGACATGGATTCAATCTGGGTATATAGGTATGAGGGGAAAATATCATTAATTGAGCACTCCACTCACTCGATCAAAGATTGGCCTCTATTGGTTCTGGATATAAGAATTATTAACACAATATGATCATATAACCCAATTATTAGTGCTATTTTTACTATGTGAAACACAGAAGTATAGATCAGATCACCTACTTTAGAATACTCTAATATCTCGTGATTTGAAAAGGGTTTGAAAGTAGAAATCTCATAAAAATATGAGATAACTAGCGTAGAAAGAGATAATAATCATTCCAACTTGCGAAATAAGGCATCCACGCAATGAGCAATCATCGAGATATATCACATAAGTACGTAGCCTCATGATAGCATGCTAGACATAGCAAACACATACATGATGCAATAAAAAGGCGCAAGGCTCACTTAGTACTCCTCTGCACCATGTCATAAGCGTAAGGGCTTAGAAATCCATGCATGATCCTAGATGCCATAATCGAGGGGATGATTTGCAATGGAATAAAAAGGAGACTCACTGGGTACTCTAGCCAAGTGTGACATAAAACAAGATGGTTAGAAAAGATGCACATGCGCGGTGCGGGTCGGTGCAGTTTGAGAGAAAAATAGAAACCGTATGGCGGGTGGCGGATTGATAAAAGTGTCACTAGAATTTGCCATTTTTCTTACCAAAAACCGGCGGTTCGATTAACAAATAATAACGAATTTGCCTTGGCGGTGCGGTTTGGTGCGGTTTTGGCGGTTTCGGCGGTATTATGCACACCCCTAATCCTAGATACGATAATCTACAAAATGCAAACACAAATATGGAATAAATCTTACGGGCCTAATCACAACTGAGATGACATGCTAATCACCAAGGAAAGCACACCACATAACAATATTTACCAAAACATAATTATTTGGGCTTGGATACATGATCCTAATTTAATCATGTGAATACCATGATGACAACTCAATAATCAAAGAAAAATAAATAAACTTAAAACAAGAGAGAGAGAGAGAGAGAGAGAGAGAGAGAGAGAGAGAGCGCAGAGAGAAAAGAAACATGTTTTAACACATTTGATTATGAACTACCTGAATCCATGAAAAAGAGGTTTGAGAGGGTAGGTCTAACCTATCCTTATGGAGTAAACTGTGCTTGGGTTTCTCAAGATAATAATAATGATTAAAGCTAGGAAAATCAAAGCAATAACAGGCACCTTAGCGAAAGTGAGGAGGTTCTATCCCTCAAACACATGGAAAATGGTAAAAATTACCCAAATCCATGAAAAAGAGTAGGGAGAGGCCAGAATCAACTCGTTCTCTCTAAAGAAAGTCGTGATTAGGCTTCTATAACATCAAAATCAATGAAACGATAAAATAAACAAGGCTCTGACGAGGATAGAGAGACTCTTACCCTCTAACACATGAAAAATGGTATAAACTATCCAAATTCATGAAAAAGAATGATGGGAGGGGAGATTCCATTTATTCTCATAGAGAAAACCTTACCTAGCTTTCTATAGCAACAAAAATCAATAAAGTAATAAAATTAAAGAAACTCTAATGAGAATGGAGGGATTCTACCCCTCAAACACATGAATAAGGGTATAAACTACCCAAATCCCTAAAAATAAATAACGAGAGAAGAGAATTAGACCATTCTCATAGAGAAAGCCATGCCCGGGCTTCTAACCCATAATAAAGCAAGAAAAACAAGTTGGATTTGGCCAAAGTCTCTATACAGGCCTAAATTACTACAAAAAAATGGGTAGAGAAATAGAGGATCCAACTAATCTATCAACAACAACCCAACAACCATCTCAACATCTCAAGAATATTTCAAAAATAGTGGAAAATGGATAGAAGATGAAATAAAATGGAAGTAGGGATTACATCCAAAGCTAGCAGAGATAAGGCCTAAGCTGGTCACAAACACCAATCCAAGCTTCCTCAAGCTGATGAAGATCTCTAGCTCCAAATCTTTAAGCCAAATGATAAAGAAGAGACTCCAAGTGTATAGGTATCTTAGGTATGTATAAAGTTCAATGTCCCTTAGATTTAATAACTAGAATCAACAACTTTTTTAAAAAAAAATTAACCAATCCCTTACCTCTCCAAAAATGAATGATTATATAGGCTTGGGATGCTTGGAATATGCCATTTGGGCCTCAAGGATCTAGATGGCATATTCCAAGATGATAGGGGACACCTCATGAGAAATCTATTAGGCAATTGTTGGCGGATTTGGCCAAACAAAAATTTGTATGACCCGCCTAAAGTGGTTCATCGTGTTTTCTCGAAAAAATCTGTCAAAGCAAAAAGGGTATTCAGAAAGAAGTACTCTAGACGTGCTTATCCTTACCAAAATTGTCCGTCTTGTTTCTAAAAAATTGTCCGGCTGATCACATCCCACCTGACCACACTTTTCACAGAAGGTTTCCTCATCTTCTCACTCATTCCGGCTTTCTAAGCTTACCTTTTTGAAAAATAAATAAACACTTTTTAGAAAACATAACTTTGGAAATAGCCGAAACAATGAGAAGGTATCACTCACCTTACGAAAATCATTTTGAAAAATAGGTTTGAAGGTCTGGAAAACTCTTAGGCCAAAATGGGTATAGGAATGTTCATCTCTCTCCATCTATGACTTGTGCTTGAACTGATCTTTGCTTCATCATCGAGAGCTCTTTACGGAGCACCCAAGGCTTAAGGCTAGTAAAAATTGGGGTGTCTCCAATATGCTTTCATTAAGATCTCCATAAATGAATCTCAACAAGTACTTCTGCATCTTTACTAGACCTCTTGGATTATGTCTTACAAATTTGTCAATCATTTTGGATTACCTATTGCA